CTTTGCCCTTTTCCAAGGTGTCTGCACGGATGATGGATGCACGGACTGGCTGCACATTCTTGGTGATCTGGGGTAATTGATACAATACATACACACATATGAGTTTCAAGATGAATTATGTTAAGTAAAATTGATGGTTCATTTGTTGCATAGCTATAACATATTTTGGTAGAATTTCAAATAAGCTGCTTTTCAGCGATGCCTCACTTGACTCAGAAATCACATTTATATTGATGGATTACTGTTGAAACATTCCTAAAATCAGTGCATGCAGAAATCTGAATGATGTCCAACGCTCCAACACCTCCTGACCTTTTTAAAAGGGAACTAACTGCAGGTATGTTCTGCCAAACCCCAGCAAATTGCATATTTTCAGCTATAAAGCAGCATAAAACTGTCATTAACAAAAACACAGAAACAAGCAAGTCAGATTTTGGAGTTACTTCTGTATTGAATATACCGGGGAGAACACAGAAATTAACTTCTTGAATAGTTACATATAAATAGTGATTATAAAGGGATGATGTCTATCTGCCTAAGTGTTTAATATTGTCACTTATTTTTCATACTGTGTGGCCCTTCAGAAGACAAATTAATTTCTTAGAAATCTGTCTAGCTTTACTTCAGATCCAGACTATTCAATGAGTAATCAAGAACTCAGATGTTCTCCAATTTCTCACTTTTTTTTCTTTTTTAATGTGCCAGTGATGTCCTTAAAAGAAATGAGAATAATGTCTTGAGATATTATACTGGAAAATGTGATGTATAAAATTCATGCCTGTGAGAAAATGCACTTCATTTTCCAAGGTCATTTTAAAAAGACCAGAATTAGGTGTGTAAACTAACTATATAGAGGTGGACTAAGATATTTTAATTTACTTTGGCATAATAGCAACAAGGCAGCGTGATAAAGTGTTACCCTCATAGAATCAATTATTGCCCTTTCCCGTGAAAGTTTTATGGTGGCTTTGGCTCTTATTGGACCAAAGCAACCAGAGAGCATTATTCTCTGACAGTATTTTACTCTATAATTATTTATATCTGTTCTCTCTCAGGCAAAATGGGAGTCCTTGAAAGTAAGCGGTGCAAGGCAGAACAGTGGATCAGTTCTCTGTATGTTTAATAAATGTGCCACAAGAGTAAGTGTTTGTAGAGTACATAAGAGGAGTACATTCCCCTTGAATTTGATACTTTGATGCAGTATAGGGCAAAAGCTGGGTTTAGAGGGGGTTAGAAAATACCCACGATTTGGAAGTTTTCCTGAATATTTTGCTGAAAAGCTCCTGATGTAAAAAATGCTGTGTCTGCTCTTGTTTTTTTCACTGCAGCAATACAGAGGTCTCCAGTTTTTGGTGATGCTGTGTAGCTCTCGAGCCTGGCTTTTTGTTTGACAGAGCTGTAAGTAGCTCCTACGCTCTCACGGCAGGATTCCACGGGTTATTTATGTCTGCAGATGTGTTACGTGCCCAACCTGAGGGAAGGTTCGATAGGTAAACACTGAAAAAGAGAGCTCAAAAAAGACTGGAGGCAGGAGCAAAGCGAGGAGGATTTACTGATGATTTTTAAGTTGTGTCAAGCCTTCTCCACATGCCCTCTGGGCATGGTCAGATACTAACTCTGATCCTGTCTTAGTGACAGCCACACCTTCAGGAGGACCAGCCTGAGCAGGAAGACAATATTTCTTCCTTGTTTTTTCTTAGTTTTATTTTAAAGCTCTTCTGAATTAATTTTCTAATGGTAAGATAATTTTGTCATCACCAGCTACTTTTAAAATTTTGTTATCAACACTTAATTATTATTGTTACTATTATTGTTATTATTATTATTATTGTCATGTGGTTGTTATTATTTAGTTTGACATAAAGTTGGAGGCAAAGCACTCTCCTGACTAAAGACCAGCGGAATGCAGTGCCAGGAGTGGTGAGTAAATCAGAACTGGCAGATTTTGTGTGGACCATGCTGTGAGATATGAGGGAATGTCCATGTAGTTCTGAAGCTCAGTCGTGGAATACGAGTTACCCTAACTGATGGAATTATTAGTCTGAGACATCCCAAAGGTTCCTCTACTTGCTGGGGACATGAGGCTTTTTGGAAAGAGAGCTAGGCCATTAAATCCAGCAACTTTCTGTTTCCCCGGGGGGTTTAGGGGAAAGGTTGGTTGATTCACACTGGGTGGGAGAAACCACAAAATTCTCAGGGGGTTCAACACCAAACTTTTACTTGCAAACTTCAGAACGTTACGGTGGAATAAGGTACTTGGCAAATTTTAAAACAACGTCCAGACAAAGTATTCACAAAGTTCACAACTTTACACTTCACAAACTTTAACTTAGCGAACTTTAACTTGTCCGGATACAACAAGGCACGCACTAAGGCATTGACTGGAATTTTTACTCTGGCTTACAATATATTTATATATCTGCCATTTTGGGGCAGGCCATGGATCAAGCTGCCATTTAGGGTCATTGGTGGGATCACTCCGCCATTTGTTGACAGATCATGGGCTGAGTCCACCATTTTGTGACAGCCCATGGGTTCGTCCGCCATTTTGTGAGAGGCCATGGGTTCCTCCGCCATTTTGTGACAGGCCATGGGGGCAGTCTGCCATTTTGCAGCAGGCCATGGGCTCACTCTGCCATTTTAGGGCAGACCTCGGGTCACTCTGCCATTTTGTGACAGGCCATGGGCTCACTCCACCATTTTGTGACAGGCCACAGGTCAGTCTGTGATTTTGGGGCCGACCATGGGCTCACTCCACCATTTTGGGGCAGGTCATGGATCAATCCGCCATTTTGGGGCAGGTCATGGGTCAGTACACCATTTTGTGACAGGCCATGGGCTCACTACACCATTTTGTGCCAGGCCATGGGCTCAGTCCACCATTTTATGACAGGTCATGGGTCCGTACACCATTTCGTGACAGGCTATGGGCTCACTACGCCATTTTGGGGCAGGCCATAGGTTGGTCTGCCATGTTGGGGCAGGACATGGGCTCACTGCGCCATTTTGGGGCAGGCCATGGGTCGGTCTGCCATTTTGCGGCAGAACATGGGCTCACTGCCATTTTGTGACAGGCCATGGGTCAGTCTACCATTTTGTGACAGGCCATGGGCTCAGTCCACCATTTTGTGACAGGTCATGGGTCAGTACACCATTTTGTGACAGGCCATGGGCTCACTACACCATTTTGGGCCAGGCCATGGGCTCAGTCCACCATTTTATGACAGGTCATGGGTCAGTACACCATTTCGTGACAGGCTATGGGCTCACTACACCATTTTGGGGCAGGCCATGGGTCGGTCTGCCATTTTGCGGCAGGACATGGGCTCACTGCCATTTTGTGACAGGCCATGGGTCAGTCCACCATTTTGTGACAGGCCATGGGTCAGTCCGCCATTTTGTGACAGGTCATGGGGTCCCTCTGCCATTTTGGGGCAGGCCATAGGGTTGGCTGCTGCCGTTCCAGTGTGGACCAGAGGCTGACTAAGGCTCAAGGAGATGGGGTGGAGCAGTAGCAGTCCTATCTATGCAGATCTCTCCCTGTTCCCACTCACACTTCCCACCTGGTTGTTTCGAGCCACTCAGCCATTCCTCTGGTCTCCTACACGCATTTACCTCTTATAAAGAACAGCATTCACGGAATAAACTAGGAAAGGACTTGCTGGTGACATTTCTTTTAATTGAAGGAGCTTCAGATTTGGGTGATGACAAAGAATGAGGGTGGTTTCCACAATGCAATTAGACAAAAGAAGTATGTCTGAATTCTCCTTAAACTATGGGGAGATACTGAATTCCTCACAGTGGAATTCTTTGGTGCAAATGGGGATGCTGGATCTACGAACTTCTGCTCCAAAGGTGGTTCAGGAAATCTCTGAAGAAAGAAAGGAAGAAAACAGCTTTTAGTATGTTTTAAAGGATTTTTTTTTTCAGATAAGGAGACGTATGAGCGAAGGACTGTACCTTCACCAACTATTAATGTACATTATACAGAAGTCCTGAAAAAAATACTTGTTGATTTTCAGTGTGTACTATTCCCAGACTAACAACAGGTTCCTTTTGTCATCTGGCTTTAAACCCAGTGAATATTCATCAGTCATGTTCAAGTAAAGTGAGTAAAATCTAGTTTGCTTCGTGCCACAGACGCTATAAAATACATTCTCAGTGTTAGGTCCACTTGTCCAAAAAATGTTAGCTCAGAGAAAGACACTGGAACATGCACTCACTTAATGAATTGCGCTCTCAGGGCAGCAGTAACTATTCTGTGGCTGCTCTCAGTCTTTTATTTTCTCCTTTCCTAGAACAGGCAAAGAATGTGTATTCCCAAGGGGAAAAAAGAGCATGAGATTTAATTTAGCAGTTATATTACACAAGCTGCACTTCAGCACCCCACATCTGTTCAGAGGAGTACTCAGTAATATACTTGATTTCCTTTCTGTGGAACATAAGTCAAGGTCTTGATGAAGTGGAGGATTTGTGTCAAAGGCAGGCCAGTGTGAAAATACAAAAATGTTCTCTTTACCTGAGTTATGCTTGTTTTCACCTCTGCTAAGCAAGTTGATAACAGTAAATATAAATATAGATAACAGCAGGAAAGATATAATTAAGTGCCTGAATTTGAATTAATGTTGCAATCAAGGTATAATCCATGATATGGTTAAAAGTTATTTCAGAAATTCCATTTGTTTCAGCTATAATCAGGGCAGTGTTGCTGAAGTTTAACTTGTGACTGAAGTAACAGAACTGATTAATGGCTGTTATTATGAATTTCCATAGCAAGGGGAGAACAGGGTCCTGAAATGTCATACCAACATTGCCTGAAAGATACATTTTTTTAATTCCTTATAAACATCTGAGTCTCAGTAAAAGTCAAGTATTTAATCACCTGAAATTAGTGCAGGCTGTGATGTCTGTTGTTGTTCTCTAGATTTGCTTAAAAAGATCACTTTTCAGCATTATGTGGCAAGGGCATGTTTATTCCTCCTTTAAATGTGGTTTTGCTTCCACTTGTTAAGCCTACGCAGCTCAGAACTGCAGCAGGAGGAAGAGGGACTTGATGAGTGGGAATGGGTCTTTATTATTGGTATATAGAGGGCATTTTGGAAAAGGACATCACTAGGATCAGAGAATCCAGCACATCTGGAGAGGTTTGCCAAAGTCTAATGCATTGGACTAATTAATGCCTTTCAGAAAACCGAGATGTATTTGTATTTTTTAAGATGGCTGGAGAAGGAGAGGAAAGGTGTCCCTGTGAGAAGATGAAGAGTACCAAGCTGTGACTGCCAACATACTTTGAATGAAGAAATTGCAAGTTGCTTAAAAGGAACATTTTGGGAAAGTGAACTGTATGTCGTTAAAGAAGTATTTCATCTATCATCATCTGATTTTCTTCTTACAAAACCCAACCTTCAAAGCTCTGAATATTGGCAAAACTTGAAGGTCAAGGGCGTAACTAGTAATTTCTTACCTCTGGGCAACACTTTTAAAAGTCTTTCTCTGGGACAGCCTACCTTATTGATAGTAATTGGTTCCAGTTTTATTTGGGTTTTCTTTAGCAGATTCCATTACATTTTGTCACTCTGGATGGAGGGAATACAGTTAGTGCTGATAAAGAGCATATCGGAGCTTTTGGGTCAGTGCAGTTTATCTTTAGCAAATCATTTGGGCTCTCAAGCGATCCCTAAGCAATCTCTTAGCCAGAGCCTTTTCTAATACACTTAAATAATTGATCTCCTATTACTATGTGGCTATGGAGTGGAGGATTTGAAAGAAATCCACAAAGAAGGATTTGCAAAAGTACAGAGAGAGCACAGAGCCCTGGCCTTCCACCCTGATGACTTCAGCAACTCACAACCTTTTGTCTTTAGACGTGATTTCTTTGAGATTTTTACTGCCACTAGATATTTTTTTTTTCTTTCCTCTTTGCAAGTAAAAAGGCTACATGATTAATTCTGCTTTCAACATCGGATGTGAAAGCCTGCTTAGGAACCCCCTGCGTGGAATGGCAGCAGAGAAGAACAAGAAGTGCCTGGTTTGTGTCAGGAGGAACAGGCTGTGCTGTTTCCAGTGCTCTCCTCAGCCTCCCACAGCCACAGAGTCCTTAACAGCAGTCATTAAACTTCCTAACGTGTGAGTATGCCAAGAGCCCCTGGTTATCCCAGCTAATGAGCGGGCTGAGATGAAGTGGTGCCCTTTGTGATTCCTGTCCTTCTCTCCCATCGCCCTCTTACTCCCACGCACTGACTGAACTGATGGGATGCTTGTACTGAAATCAGTGGAAGATTCTCAGCAGGCTGAGATCTTACTGACATCTTTTTCCTTCCATGCCAGCAGAGACCAGCATGAGGCCTTGTACTGGGAGATAGTCCTTGAAGTCCAGCTAAAATCTTTCTCCTCTTAGTCATGGTCGTTCCTCAGAGCCACACAGGTAACATTTCCTACAGCATAATCCTAAATTCAGCTGAATTCATAAGCAGATAATAACAGTTTACGTTGCCCTGCTTACGCAGTAGCCTTGTGACATACACAGTGTCTTGCTAAAGACACAGGATTCAGGTTGCCATTTCCTATCTTTGTCTTTAATTCCCACTTCATTACTCAGACCCAGTAAATTCTATTTAACTAGAAGGTAACTGTTTCTTGAACTAACACGAAGAAAAACATCCAGTTGTCATTTACATCAGAAAAATGTTAGGAATCTATTACTTCCCATTGAAAATCTCTTGCAGTTGTTAATATCTGAGTTAATACTGAGTTAATATGCCTTCTTTCTAATTAGATTTTTTGTCTGACTACAGATTCCAGCCTTATGTTATTTTTATCCCCAAGACAAAGAGTCCTTTGGCACCTGGTGTTTTCCTCTTATGATTGTACATCTGTATCCCAACATTTCAGTTTTTTTAGAAGCTGAACATATTGGCTCCATGGAGTCTAATCATTGTATGGCACTTTCTCTGGTTCCCAAATACAAGTTGAGGCTTTTTTGCACACCTTCTCCAGATTTTCAGTAGACTATGCGGACATTAAAAGTGAATAAAATATTCCAATATTAGTGTCACTCAAACCATATAGAGGAATATTCCCTTCTGAGGAGAAAGGAGCGCTCCTCAGACTCTGCCCTGTGGGCTGCACTGAGCCTAGAGCATCCCCTGCTGCTCCGGGCTTGGGATGGCACTCCCAGGCAGAGAACTGCCGGTGCAGTTTGTGTTTATTTTTGTTGGTCCGTGTCAGGCAATCTTTTACTCCTTAGGAGTTGTTTATTCTTAAAAAAAAGCCCAAAAAAACTCAAGTTTGAAACTGTCGCAGAAAAAGTTTTTGATGTTTTCTCACAGCATTTCTATTCTTTGTCTCATGTCCTACAGTCATTTTCTAAAAGTCCCAGTGCTAAACATGAGACGAAAATCTAGACAAGAGAAAGGATACAGAATAAACTCTCTTACTATATTTTATATCCCAAAATATACTAATACGAGCCATGCCCATAATGTCCAATTCAAGGAAAACACGGATGTCCTTCTCTATGGAGTAAATTTTCAAGTCACTTTTTCTTATTTCCCAATCCCAGAGAGTAGGCTCTGTTTAATTCCCACTTATTTAAATCAGAGATATTGCATTTATTCAGATATAGCCCTCGGGGTCTCTTGCATAACTGAAGTGTTTTAGTGGTTGCATTTCCCAACAGAACATGTTGAAGATCTTGTAGGTGAGTAATCGGTGCCATAAAATAGCTGCTCCATTTCCATGGCTGTGGACAAATCCTCATTCTGAGTGCAATGTGCTGGTCTATCACTGGTGAATGAGGAAATTCACTCCATCTGTCTTCTGATTCCAGAATTATTCAGTCTGTAATTACCTACTGATATGATTTCCCCAAAGATCATTTATTTCATGCTTTTTTTTTTTTTTTCCACCAAGTACCTTCAGAAAATATGAACAGAAGCAGAGTTGCTCTGCAAGGGAGTCACTACTGCTGGAAGCATTAACAGCTTTAATGAGGAAAGCAGGGCAGGTCTGAGGGTTTGTAGTTACTGCTCTGCACAGATCCAGGTGAGATGTACGCTGGCTTAAATGGGCATTTGGAGAATTACTAAGGTAGGTGTGACAGCAGTGAACCAAAATTGTTCATTATGGGGAGGGTAGGTGGAAGGAAAACCAGTTTAGATGTGATGTTACCAACACTTTTCCTTTATTCCCAGAAAAAAAGACCTGTCAGTGACTCTCTTCCGCATTGTCTCCTGAGATAGAAGACTTCCCAAGGTATGAAGGTGTGTTTCCGGTGCTGTCACTGGGATTTGTCCATACAATACTGCAACTGGTTCCTTAGTTCACCTTGAAGAAACAAAGAAAAACAACCTCTTTGTTGTCTATCCAATGCCCTCCACTTACCCACCACAACATCTCAGCGATATCTTCAATATCTACCCCCCATTATCACCACATTAGGTTCCTCCCCATTCACCCAGCCCCCAGTCTTTCATTCTCCCCTGGAGTTTTAGAAGTCTTGTTCATTTTTCTCCTCACTTGCAGTTTTAATTTCTTCTCACTGAAAGCAGCAGTGCTGGTTTTTAAGTGGTGTGGATATTCCCTGATCCATAATGCACAATAAACAGGTTACCCTGTGCAACTGGATGGAAGATTAAATCCATGCTTTTGTTAGCAAGTTGAAGCACAGGCTTTAGCTAAATTATCCCTTTGCCTGACCATCTGTTTCCAACGGAAATGCATCTTTGGCTTTAATTATAAATCTCTTATGAATATTATTTTTCTTTTCTAACCCAATCTGCCCTTTTGGAGATGAGTTGAACTCTCCCTGTGCTGTCTGAAGGGTGGGTGGGATCACCAGCATGGCTGATACAGTGATTCATTTTTTTAATTAGCCTTCCTGTGAATGATTTCAAATCTATTTATGCACTTGCTGCAAGTTGAAGCAAAAATCTGTGTTAGCAAACTGTGTTTATGAATTTGCTACAGATACCATGTTATGAAGCAGTCTAAGTACAAACATGTTAAACCATATGGAAAATCCACCCCAATCTTGCTAAATTGCTCCAATGTTTAATTACCCAGATCATTAGAAATGTGCACCCTCTTTCAAATTGTTTTTTCAATTCCAATTTCCTGGTCTAGCCCTCTGATCATCTTATAATTCTTTATGTTCCCCATGAAGGTGTGTGTAGATTGAAACCAAACACAAAAACCTCCTACTCCAGGTGCTGTTCTCCAACAAAGAATTACTCATCCCAGTAAGGATTTGTCATTGAGATGCCTTGTAGTTTATTAATTTTTTCCAAAGAAAGGGTGAGGTCATTCTTTTTATTTTAAATTAAAGGGGGGGTGGTGGGGAGGAGGGCACAGAGAGCTCTGGGTTGGGGTATCAGGGGGAATTCTCAGTATTCTGGAGCTCTTCTCTTTTACATAGTAAGGATTGGGAAGGGAGTACTTGTATCTTCTGTGGTACTGAGCAGCAACTCCTTTTTGTGACCAAGAAAGAAAAGAAAAACACACCGAGTTACGCTTCCTGGCACCTTTTCCAGCTCCTCTGGAGAACTTGGCCCTTGCTAGTCAGCAAGAAGACCTTGAGCAAGAGAAGAATCTCCTCCTGCCAAGCTTTCTTCCCCAGCAGAGGCCAACTTGTAGTAACGCGGTGTGGAGATGAGTCAGTGCAAAATGGACTTGGTAAACACTTTTACCCTCCTTCTCCAGAGACAGCTGCACTTATTGCTTCATCCAAGAACCACTGAGGGGGAGAGGGATTGAACACTCCTCACTGGAATCCTGGGGTATGTGCTGGTCTTCTCCTTGTAACTTTTACCCCTGCGAGTTTCAGTTCCCATCCCTCCTCCTCAGCTCTTCATCAGCTCCTCATCGATTTAGCTCATTCTCTTCAAAGGATTTCCAGCTTAGAACTGTGCCAGACTGCCTTTTGATCTTCTTGAAGGTGTTTTCTCTCCAGAATGACCAGAGTAACTTTGATCAAAATACAGTTTATTGCAATGTTTTCATAACCCATGGCTTCGTTTGAGTCACCATCGCTGGAGGGATTTAAAAGACATGTAGATGTGGCCCTTGGTGGCCTTGGCAGTGCCAGGGAAATGGTTGGAAACAGGGAAACGGATGATCTTAGAGGGCTTTCCCAACCTGAATGATTCTGTAATTCTACAAAACTCTCTAAATCCCAAATCCTGCCATTGTAGCACTTGCTGCCACTGTTAAATCAGCCCGTGGGTTTTCTTCCTGTGTGATTTCACTCTACCAAGGGCTTGTACAGAAAGTGTATCTACACCAAATGTTTCATACAGCTTTCAAAGGAGTCCTGAGAAGGTTTAGCTGTTAATTTATAGAATGAGAGAGGGAATATTTTCACGCTCAGCCCTTCTCCCCCCCATTTCTGTACTAAGTTCAGTGAGTGAAAATGATTCACTGTGATTCATTCTCATTGCCTCCCAAGCTGCGTTCTTCCCTGAAAAGTACAATATATCTTTTCATGTTCTCCGTGAATGCTGTGGCTGTGACTTCTTTCTCCATGTTTCTCATGTTTAGCAGCAGCTCCTGTGAAGAACAGGTACCTGAGGAGCATGAGAGAAAAGCTGGGATTGTATCTGGAACGAGCTCTCTGCAGCTCTGGGAGAATAACAACCAGCTCTTTGGGTAAGGGACAATGCTCTGAGGATTGTTCAGCTGGACCTAAAAGTTTTTGGGCTGTGAAATGTAGAATTAGAGAAAATGTGGGATTAGAGAAGCATGGAAGATAACTACAGAGTTCCCTGCAAATGAAGACTCTGGCTTTACATACTTGGCCTCTGGGAAAAAATACAGGCAGAATTGGCTTGTAAAGCAGAAAACATGTTGGTTCTTCATCCAGTTTTGAAACAAAAAACCCCCAGACAACAAAAGCATTCATTTGGGTTTTTACACCACCAGATGACTGTCTAAAACATGTATTCTCAATCACTGTCTGTGTGTATATTTAGTACAAAACCATGTTTATGCAACCAAAGATAAGCCAAGAGACTTGTGTTATCATGTGATGTTAGCAAACTTACTCTCACAGGAAGACAAATAGTTTATTAAGCATCCTGACCCTGGAATTTGAGCACCTCTGCTTTTCCATCCATAAATCCTCCTAAATCGATGGCTTCTGGGTGTTGATGGCTCGCCTTAGGCCCTCTCTACATACCATCCTTAGGGAAGGAAGCTTGGGATATCTGTTTCAGGTTCCAGCTGCTGTGCTGGGGGATGTGAGAAGCGTGCTCAGGCTCATTAAATCTGCAGGACTTGGAAGCTGTGCCCGTGGTGACACCACAGACAACATTCCAGTGAGACCCAAGCGCTGGAACTCTTTGGCATCAAGCACAGCCCATGTGAGAGCTCAGGAGCAGTTCCAGAGCCGACTCCAACACGTCTCCTTGTTTTTCAGCTGCTGACATAGAGGTGGTTTTTTAAAAAAAGTCCAAAATGAAACAGATGTCCTTGGGGAAGCTGGAGATGGAAATATTTCTCGTGTGAGCCATCTCACACACATGGACTGGAGGCTGCTTTGGGAGGTTTCTCCAGAGACCAGAGACCTTTCCCGCAGGTTGTGGGGAGCAGAGCTTTTTCCTGCCTGGAATTTGGTGGGCAAAACACGACACAGTGCTTGAGGTGGAATTCTTAAGCACCCAGAGGATAAAATCCTACAGGAATATATTTCCCCAGGCTAAGAGAGGACAGTACTTTTTAAAAACATGGATAAGCCAGCTATGCTGCTGCGCCATCTCAGTTGTTTCCAACTACAGGCAGAGATCCAGAGACATCCTGGATCCGAAAGATCCACTCTGGATTCCAAGAGAAGGAATCTTTCCCTTTAAGCCTGCTCATTTCTTCAGTTTAACACAACCAACCTGAAATACTCTATTTCTTTTAAACTCTGGTTGCTTTTGAATTGCTTTCATCTAGAGTGTGAAATTCCAAGTCACTGTGAAAAAGCTGCCTTAGGAATATTCTTGGCGATGCTGCAAGCAGAAAGTACAGGAAACCTCCCAAGAGAGGTTGTTCCAGCAACACTGCCATCCACGTTTCACAGCTGCAGGGACATCCAGAGCAAATCCAAACACCAGCTTTTCCCTTCAACAGAGCCTTTGCTGAGGTACAGCTGCCCAGGATCCATCCCTGGAAGTGTGCAAGGCCAGGCTGGACGGGGCTTGGAGCAACCTGGGACAGTGGATTATTCTTCCAGAGGAATAAAGGAGGGTATGCTGGCATAATTCCTCTTCAGTTTGGTTTTAATATCAGTTCTCCTTCAAGTTTGCAGTACAAGTAACATTTTTTAAGTCCATCCTTTCAGCATTATTTTGCTTTTAGGCAGTAGAGGTATTATTTATTTATTGGTATTACTGAATTTTCTCATTGATAGATATTTTTTCCTAATCCTGGCAACTGTAATAACCACGTAACCCTGACCTTAATATTTAACCCACTGAGGCTGATTTAGAAAAAACAATCAGAGAGGTCTTGTACAGGTTAAAAAAATACCTGTATAGCAGTGTGACTGTGGATGTGTGTGCACAGTGAGCTGTGCCAGCAAATAATTTATCAGTAATTCTTATGCAGAAGTCTGACTTACTATTTTCTAACACATAATATTGGAATTATTTGGATTTCACGAAGCAAATTTAAGGAGTGAGTAAAGCTTCTGTGAAAATGCAAAGATTTGGCTCAATAAATTAGAATGCTTTACTGCTAGCCAGAAAACTGCAGTAAAAAAATGCACCGGGCCGGTGGATTTCTTGTAAGTGAAGTGTAATCTCTAAGTAAGAATGAGTGTTGATGGGGAATGATGAGATGCAAAGTCTGACTGGCACAGGGGTCAGGAGTTAAAAGTTGGCCTCAGCATTAAGAATAAATCACATATAGAAATATAATTTCGGCACAGTTCTGTTCCAGCTTTTGAGGATACACCAACTCCCAAAAGGCATCCTGGGGCCTGTTGTTATTTTGGGATGCCTCAGCCCCAGCTGGATTCAGACAGAAGTTAACCAACAGCATTTAATTACAGCCACATCAGAGGCTTGTGTCAAACAGTGCAGGTAAGTCAAAAGGGAGTAAAAGTCAACTAATAGGCTTCTGAGACAACTTTCCCAAATATATTAAACCTAAGGAAATATCTAAATGCATTCTTGAGGTATTTCACAAATAACAGAGATCCTTTTCTTGCAACAAATGACTTTAAACCAGAAAATAGTAATCATGTAGAAGGGCAAAGCATTAACAAATACTTGATTACACTAAATACTCCTCTTTAAAAATTTTCCTGATTGTCCTGACCTTTTCTTTTCCTCACTTAGCTGATCTGCATGTTATGAGTTACTAGTTGAATTGGGTGTAAAAACAATTGAAAAACAACTCCCAAGTCTTTCAGGATGACTAAAGTAAAACCAGATGACAGTTAGAAGATAGCTCTGCACAGTTAGAAGATAGCTCTGCACTGGTATTCATTATCCTGGAAATAATATATAGCAAGCTATAGGAGAAAACACTGAAAAGAAGGAGTACACATTTTTTCAAGTTGTTATATTATCTTCCTTGTGAATTATCAGTGAAGTATGAAAATCAGTTAAATGATTAGACAGAGATTTAATTTACTAAATATATTCAAGATAGAAGAGACTTGATAACCTTTTCTGCTCCCAGAGTGGATATAGCACCACAAAGAAGGAACATATGCTTTCATCTTTTGCTAAGGTATTACTTTTTTTTCCTTTTTCCCTTGTTTTTCTTTTTGGATGTAAAATAAATAGTCCATACAGAAAATGGAAAGTAATTGTGTAAGGACTGAAGACCTTAAATCATATAAGTGGAAGGAGTAAAGAGAATTCAGGTTCAAAGTGGAAACAGCACCTTAGTGCAGCAAAAGCCCCCCAGCCTGGCAGGATTTGGCATTTTGGAGTGCAATAGCCAAGGGAATGAGTTGGAAGAGGCTAAAGTTGCCCAGGATTTGCACCCAAAATGTGTGGTAAGTGTATTCTTATATCATTTTCATGTATTTCATATAATCAAGTGGTTTTTCCTGGGAAGCTGTGGGAGTTGTAAGCTGGGAGTGGTGATGTGTTCCTCATCCTTAGGAGGTGAAATGCTTGGAGAAAGTTGGCCTGTCCAGTCTAAACACAGGGAAATGTCCAGGCAGGTGAGATGCAGAGGCACTCAGCAGGTTTTAAACTCTGATTCTGCTTTACTAAACCGTGACAAGACTTCTGTTTAGTATCTGCACGTGCTCAAAGTGCAGCTCTCCATCTTTGAAAGATTCCACTCCACTTCCCTCCAGCAATCCCTCAGCACTCCCTGAGAGCAGGCTCTTTCTGCTGGCTTGGAAAACCATTTTACCTCCTACAAACACGAACACCTTTGGGATAAGCAGAGCCACCACTAAGTTCTGCAGTGGGTACAACCTGGTCACACAGATGCTGAAAGCACTTACCTACAAAAACTTCCAAAATCTCCACTATTGCTCAGAAAGTATCAGCACAGACTGGTGAAACTACAGGTTTTTTTAATAACTTGGCTGGAATGGCTGTAATGACTCTCAGCATGCAATAATATTTTCCCCTTGGAGTTTGGAGAGTAAGAGTTAAGAGAGCTCAAATCCTGTATTATTCTGGGCAGCTGCAAAGGAAAGTATTTTGTATTTGGTCGAGAGGAATTGCTGGAGTGTGTGTTTTAAATTGAAAGTGCTCACTAAACTGAAGTGGTCTAAATTGAAACTGTGGTGGTTTTTCACGAGCTTTGGTAGTTCCTTTGGTTTGATCAAGGAGAGGGGAAATTAGTACTAACAAAGAAAAGTGTAACACACACACACAGTTTACTGTCTTTGTACTCTTGTAGGAAAGTGGTTATTGTACATTTTATCCATAAAAAGCGAGTCAAGCCCTTGTTTAATTCCCGTGGTGATCCGAATATTGCAACTGCAACTATTTCTATCAAATTTCAGTGGAGCAGCTTTTGAGTTTATGTGAACTGTCAGGGGTTCTTAGGCTTTCTGGGTTTCATTGTATTGGTGACTGAGTGGTAGAAGCCTAAAGATAAAGGGAATTTTCACATGTGGCAATAGAGACAATGTTGAAAAATACTTATAGTCAAGAATAAAAAGATATTATATAATATCAAGAATGTAAGAAACTTGCTGACTTTATAGAAAGGGAGGGAGAATGAATATACAAGTGGTGGCTTAAATGCTCTTTTATTGCTTTGATTTCTCAGTTTCAGCAGCTGGTATGGCTGTTAGAACCCTTCTATTATTTACATTGAAAAAAAGGAAGAGGAGGATATCTGGGGAAAAATAATAAAAGAAAAAACCAAATTGAAGCTGTAGGGAAAGTAATTTTTCTTTCTAAGTACAGCAATTCAAATGGCTCATAAATGGGGTCAAATAAAGATAAATGCAAAGAACCCCACCAAATGCAATGTGTGCTTGTTGTTCTGTGATTTTATGGTTTAATCTCGCTGTCTTTTCCTGGGAAGTCCCCATATGCCGTGGTTATTCCTAGTGACAGCTGTCATTTGGTGGTGGTTCCTCCAGAATGGCTGCAGGCAGTCACATAACCAAGCCTGCTCTCCTGCTATTCCCAGCTCTTCCTTGTTCCCTTGTGCCTTTTCCTTTAGGTCAGAACTTCCCTCTGTGCCCAGCAGATCCCTGTGTCAGGTAGGGAACGGCCACAGCCCCGTTATCTTCATCTACCCACCCTGCCTCCAGTAGAGGGAAAAAGATAATGCTTAATGTTTTTTTCATGGCCCATCATAAATCTGTCACTTTGAAAAATATGGAGAAGGAGCTAAATTAATTACTGTCTTATTGATTCCCCTTGGCCTGATTCATTAGAGGATCCCATCCCTGCATAAACCTCTCCCCCGAAATGCCGCTCTGGGTAAAACCTGGCAGAGAAATTGCATCGCCTCCACCAAAGGACTCATTCATATTTCATTGTTTTAAGTGGTTTCCTCTGTAAATATTTCATAGATGATGTATATAGATGAATGTCAAAGCAGAAAACTTAAAGAAGCCTTGACTGCAAACTTTCGGGGTTCCTGATAAACTTTTTTAGTCAGAAAAGGACTAACAGCTCACTCCTAGCACAGGCTGATTGGGTTTTTATAACATCTGTCCCAATACTTGCCATTAACTACATTAATTAGCAAAAGCTTGCACACAAGACCTGCACACAGGTCTTATTACTCACATCAACATCTATTGTTTGAATCAAAACTGAACTTGTGTCTCAGGATGTAAAGGAGGTGTCCATTAATTTTTTCCACACTTCTAATACTTGACAGCAAAACCCTTGAGTGGCTATTTATTTATTTATTGTGATTACTGTTCCTTTACAATTCAGCTGGTTCAGATAGACCCATGTGCCCCAAGCTTTTTATTTCCAGAGAGGATGGAGATGGCTACAACGTAAGTAAAGCCATAGTAGCTCATGGAGTAGTGACCCAGGAAGAGTCTGGTGTGGTAATTGATAGCAAATCTAAACATTAGACTTGTAATCGTGCAGGGGCCATCAAAATTAATTGTACTTGAGCACAAACTGTTGAAAAGCTAAATCTCTTCAGGGAAGGATTTGTGGAAGTGCAGTATTCCTCAGGGAACCATGCAAATCTGCATTGCAATAGCCTGTTTCCTGAGGTTTCCTCGGGGATCCCGGGGAATTTATAGGAAGGCTGTATTTTTTTTGTAGTCACACCGCCTTTACCAGCTGCACCAAATTCTTCCTTGGATGACTACATTCCACAAAAGCAATTACAGAAAGTGCTGGGGTTCTTATTTTCATTTCTTTTAGTTGGGCTACAGAGACAATTTCTCTCGAAGAAGGAGCACGTGCCATGGTGGAGAGGAGCCTGCACGTTTATCCTTTACACTGAGGGTATTTGGAAAATGCTATTATGTTTTCAGGACGTTTGGAAAATCCTGTGTTGGGTGGGACTGGATACCCAAGGCCACACAGACCAGAGATTTAATTCCTACTCTTTATCTCTTCTAGTGTTGCTGCCTGGGAATTCACTCCCCATCAATACAGAATAAAAAAAAAAGCTCTTTTCTTTTAAAGCAACAGCACATAAAGAAAGCAAAACCTGACCTCATTTGTTGGTAGCAGCGCCGAGATGAACTGCGGCTCTGACCTATTTCTCCAGAGTTACAATTATCTGCTGTAATGGTACCATTTTACTTCTTAAATCCTGGATTATTGTAATTTGAGATTTACAGAAGTTATTCTCTCTCTGGTTGCAGATCTTGATGCTTCAGGGGCAAGGCAATGTGAAGGGACAATGAATATACGTGAGGGAGCAAAGACAAGGCATGGGATCAAGCCATAAGGAATTGGTAATTTTTTTGTTAATATTTTTATAAATATGTATAATTTAATAAGTTATCCGTGTCATCTGTGTAGTTTTGCTTATTTTCATGTATATATAGAACATATATTTATTTATATATTTTTAAATATATATAAAAAACCCATACTTCTGTATCCATATGTGTCCCTACATGGAGTGATCTAAACCAAGGTCACGTGGTGAGGGATCTGGGTTTTGTTCAGCTGTCTGGCAGAGACATGCTCAGCCTCTCTGTGCACCATGGGAATGGTAAATATAAAAGACTTGAAGAAATCAAGTTCTTAGATATTCAGAACCAAACCCCTTGGCAATAGAAGTTGACAGAGCTGCCTTTAAATCAATTTAATACTTGCTTAAATCAGTGGAAGGGAAGTGAATTACGTTGCGTGAGGATCTGGTGTTTGTAATCTGATTTCATTTTTTATTTATTAGCAGTATCCAACCTCACAGAACAAACTTTTTTTTCCCCCCTGAGTTTTATGTTGGCCTGCATCACCAAAATGAACAGAAAATATGTTCCTATGTTTTCCTCAAGTAAAATTTCAGTCTTCAGAACATATCATTCATTCAGTGGGTTCAGTGGCCGTGGTTGCACTTGATGATGATCCTGGAGGTCTTTTCCAGCTTTAGTGGTTCCACGATTTTGTGATTTTTGTTGTAGAAGTGTTCACAGCAACACCATGCTGGTAACAAACACTGAGTCCTGCCAACCCAGACAGGCAGAAATCGTGAGCTGGGTTCTCACCAAGCACAGCATCAGCTCTAAAACCTGAGTTTTCAGGGGGGAAAAACCCAACAAACCAAACCAACAGAACTGACTCATATCTTTTTATTTACCCTCTGCTTTCTAGCACATATTAAGCTTTGCCCCAGCCCATAAACACTGGCAAAACACTTAACACCACGAATCTGCCTCAGTTCTGTGCCAAATGCTATAAACTTCATTCCCCACTGTCACCAAGACTGGTGCGCCCAGACCATTCAGGCCACGCATTTCACATCAGCTGGACTCATTTTCTTCAATCCTATTTCTGCATGCCTTCAGTTTAATGGGAAATCATTCCCTTTTTGGTCACAGATCTACTCTGTAATAAACTGGTTGTTCGGGGCTGCCTTTCATCCCTGTCAGGGAGATGCCATGAGCACCACCCACGGAATACACGGGTTTTAAAGAGCAAAAGCTGAGGAGGCTGAGGTCAAGCAAGGACAAGTAAACTCCGACTGGAATTGCTCTTAGCGAGGGGCCTCGTTTGTTTTTGGACTCCTGTGCGAAGTCAGTAAGTTTTGCTGTGGGGGGAACGGGGCTGGATGAGGGTTTGAGGAAGACATTTATGGCTCCATCCCCAGAGGGCAGACACGCAGGCTCAGCATCTGCCAGCGTCGGATAGGGATGCAGGGGGAGCACTAGGGCTTGGAGCAGCATTAGGAGCAGCTTTGGCCGAGGCAAATGACAAATTTGCTGCTCTTACTTCAGTTACTTAAACAAATTTTAAATCTTTTCCGTCAAGGGAGCAAAGAAGGCACTTAGATTCCAGGAGCGGGAAGTTTTGGAACAGAAGCAGACAGAAGATATTGCCGTGGTGGGGCTAAAAGTGAGACAGAACATTTTCCTTACTCCTGAGGGATGTGCACTGGGAACAGGCAAAAGGTGGGTGCATCCAAGTGACAAGAAGGTTTTGCTATGAAATGAGAACATACAGCATAAAATCTCCAGCACTTAATAAATATAAGAGTAAACCAAACATTTTCCTCCTTCTCCCAACAAAACAACTTGGCAAATGCATCGGCAAAGGCAGGTGAATAATCGAGTCACTCTTGGTTCTCAGCTCTCCAGGGAATTTCAGGTACTTTGGAATCTTGTGGCTCATGGCATGGCAATAACGTGAAGTTCTTAGATTGGGCATTTTTAGAGTTTTCTTCTTCTTTTTGTCTACATACAAATTTTTTTTGTGCTAGCAAGATGCATACGTCAAGATGTCATCCAGTGTGTAATCAGCTATATAGTGGTTATGGTTTTATTATCATAATCAATTACTTTGCCTCCCTGTAAAATATATCATTAGGTTCAAGGTCAAGAAAATTTATAAATGTCCAATATTTAACAATTACTTAATATGCATTCAATTAAAATTGAGTCTCAACAGAGATCTTGGTTAAAGACTGAAAATTGTGAAGTGGGTTAGAAGGATTTCACAATGGGTGAGAATCACCAGCCATGCAATAATCTAATATAGCCAGACTAAACTGTTGTGTCCTTCTAGATAGTTGTAATAGAAGTAATAATTGCCTCTTACACGATGGAATGTCTAATATTAATTAAAGTTTCTAGATTTTACATCAGGTTCTGGGCTATAAAGTGTGTCCCATAGGCATTTTTCCAGCTGTTTATCTCTACTTTGCTACAATTGTAGCAATAGTAACTCCTTGCTAAGAAAAATACAAACACATTTGTTACAATGTAGCTTAATTTGGTGTGGGTTTTTTTTTTTTGTTTTTTTTTTTTGTTAGTAAAACCTAGAGTAACTGACTAATTGTGTTGTGACATTGCTACATCTAAAAAAAAAAAAAAAACAGATGAACTTTACAAAGTACTAACTAGTTTGTCAATTTTGAATCAGATTTCAAAGTATGAAATTTTGACCAAAATAGGGAAAAAAAATTGCAATTAACTATAGAACTGGTCAGATTTTAAATGCTGATTAAAACCAAATATGTTTAAAATCTGTGTCCAGCTCTCCCCTCTCCTCACTTTTCCCCTGCTAGCTCAAAGGGTAGTCTGGGAAGAAGTGGAGGTAAAATTTCTCCTCACCATCTGTTATCTGACATTTGAAAAAAAAGTCCCTGTTTGACCAGTAATGAGAGAATTAGCAACATTTGGGCCATAAATCATTGCCCTCAAATTTACAAAGCTGGTATGTTTTTACAGGCAAAACTGATTATGTCCTATGTAGAAACAGCCACATCTCCCAATAAACAGAGCCTCATCCCAGCATTAAAATGCCAAACAGATGGAGGAGCCTTTCCTGGGAATATGCATAGGGAAAAAAATGGCTGAGAAGTATGGGGTAAGAAAACTCTGCCAAGCTCAACAGGGCCACAGAAAGTGTTAATGACTCAAGGATTATCTTTTCCAAAACTAGTTGAAGGACACAGCTAGGAAGAAAGATGTTCTCCTGACACAAACACCCATCAGGAAATAGCATATACCAACATGGGATTATCCCCCAAAAGATGAAATTGGAAAGGATTTCCCATCCTAATTACATGAACCTTCTGAGGATCAACTTCAGACAAAATATCCCAGAGCTGACTTGACAACTTCACAGGATAAGGGAAAAAATAAAAAGCAGACCCAGATGTTCCATGTTCCGGGCGACTTCATATTAATGAATCATCTGCATTATATAAGCTAAGGACAGGGAAAAAGGACCATGTGGAGGTCACTCGAGGGCTGCTGTTGTGCTGGGCACTGAGAAAACACGGAATATGGGATGGCCCCAACCTCTGAGTTCAAGCTCTGAGTAGAAGTTGGGTGGGGAACCACTACCTTGTGTTAATCCAACGCTGGCTATAGGGAATTGTGGTGCTGTGATACAGGAGATGATGATGGGTGGATGGATGGGCAGATGAAGAGATATATACTCTTTTTTTTTTTTTTTTGGCAGAAATAGAGAAGGTAGATCTCGCTGACTGCAGCAGATTGGGCTTTCCACAAATGTAAACAGCACTTGGATACGAAAGCTGTGAATAATTTTGGTGCCTATTTCTGTGTTCTGTGTCGTTTGCCCACAGGAGATGATTAAACGCCTCAACACTGGCACGTCTGGAGGTTACATGTGGAAGGTCCCCTCCAAATTCCCACTTCCCACACACCTAAGGCACATATGGGTGCATCTTGGTGTTCTTGCCTGCTCTACTGTGGGGGTACAAACACACCTTCTGGGATTGTCAGATTAGCAGATCACTGGTTGTCAGCACCTTATAAAGAGACTTCCCCAGGGAAGGAACGTTTGCCTTGCACAGACCACGGGAATTGCTGTGTGTGTGGGAGTGAACCATGGCCATGAGAAGTGACTGTGCCTTTCTGTTACTGAACAGGAGATACACTCTGTACCCCACTGGAGTGAAAATGGAAGGTGTTTCTTCTCCAGGCATCCAAAGGGAACATTCTGCCTTAGCTGTGGCTCTCCTCTTTCCACCCTTCCTATGGATTTTTATTTGCTTGCTCATGGGGGGACAGCAATAGTTAAGAAAAGCCTAATTGAGGCAAGATTAATGCAGTTCCTCTGAGAGTAAGGGAGAGATTTATTCTCTCCCTCCCTTCCACAGATGTCTTGTTTGGGACTCAACCTTGCCTCACATATGTACCTTTATTCATTTACTTCCTTCTGGTCCTCTGGGAGAAGCCTCTCTCCTGGAATTTATTGCCTTGGCCGCCTTGTTTCTGTCCCTGTTAATAGTAAGACATACTGAATGCCCGTATATTTGTCTTATTCTCAGATGTGAGAGAAAGGGATTTATCTATGCCGAAAAATATGTACATTTGGCTTGGGACAGCCAGGAGTTACTGTAAAGAAAACCTTGAAACTGGAGCCCCTGAGCTGGCAAGAAATGGAAAGCTTTGAAAGAGTGGGACCCAGCAGAGCTGCTGAAATAAAGCATCAGGTTCCAAAGGAATGGGCAGCCTTATGATCCTTCTCGATGAATTTCTTTCTCTCTCACCTTGGGCTGACAACAGACATTAGCAAGTGATGGAGGAAGGAAATACTTATTTAAAATACCTGGTTGGTGAAAGGCTGTGAGAGGAGATGAGGAGAACATAGAAGCCCAAGTTAATTTGTGTGTGATTGACTCAGGCAAGGAGCTTGGGCCAAGCCCTGCATGGGCTGTGTTCCTGCTGACTTCGTCCTTGAGATGGGTAGATCAGAGGGTTCCTTCAGAGCTCCTTCTGCAAAGGACAGCTTTGAAGGTCACCTCACAGCATCACTGTGATATTTTACCCAGAAAAGCAATGTCTTTACCCGTTGCCAGGCTCAAAAACCTGCCATTGGCATTAACAAGCTCAAAACAGGCCCTGGGCCTTTTTCCCAGACAGCTGCATTTACCGAAATTTTCTATACTTCTCTATCCTCAAAATGTCATTTTCAATTTTACTTTTCAGCTGCTGTCCTTTGCTCTCTGCTGTACAACCTGCCCTTGGCATCTCACGACTTCACATCTGGAAAAGTGCTTTTGGGGAGGTGGGAGTGATGCTCCTGGTCCTGCTTCCCAAGCTGGTCCGAAACCGCCACGGCCAGCGCAGGAAGCAAAGGTACTTTTTAAAAACTCTCAGTATTTCAGCTCTCCTTCCATATTCATATTTTCATGCCCTTTTTTTCTCTTTCTTTAAGTGCAAGTTTTCATTTGTATTTGCTGCTCTCACCTTTTCCTTCTTCTGTTCCATGGCTCAGCCCATGCCTGGGAATGAAGGGAATGCTGTTGAACAGAGCAAGGAAATGAAAACAGCAATATTTATCTTGCTTTATTGTGACTTTCATTTCCTTCACAGCCAGGCTGCTTTCTAACCTGCAGGGTTTTTTTTTAGCCCAAGCTTGTGGTTTTGGGGGCATCTACTCCAAGTATTTTTATTAACTCCTCAATTGTCACTTTCTTCAGTTTAATTCTGTTTTCTCTCACACCTCGTGTTGCTTAAAATTGGTTTTGGCTTGTGAAAAACCATCTCTTAAACACCAACTAAAATATACTGTTATTCAGGGTTGGAAATGGCTTCTTGAGTTTGGGGACTGTTCTGTAATTTGCAGAAATCCTGAGGCTGTTGCAGCAGAGGAGGCCTGAGCCTGCCATCAAACTACAGGTAGGTACTTACTCCTACTCTTAGTGCTCAAGGATGTTCTTGTTAAAGAAACTCATGGTGGATTCCTCTTTGTGCATCAGTTTGTAGAGCTCTGTTCCAGACACTGAGTGTCCAGTTTGTTGTCATCGTGGTTACCTGCATTTTTTATATTTACTGATATTACTTCTCTTCTACCCACTTGATTCTGGCTCCAAGCAGTGATTTAACAGTTAATTTATAAAGAAAAAACCCAAACAAACCAACCCCCAAAACTCCACCAGAAGCAAGTGCTGGTAGCTAAAATGGATTCATGCTAACTTATAAAAAATTCTAATTGTTTTTATTTATCCCCTGCAATAGATTTAAATTACATCTTCCCTTTTCCTTAGCAGCTCCTTGGTTTTTTTCTTGTCATCTTGACTGCTCAATGATTTTGCTCTCCCTGTCCTGTTTCAGCTTTTCCCTTCTGTGCTGGTTTAAGGGTCTCCTGAACAGTGTACCCTTGGCTCAACACCAGGTGAGAACTATCCAAGATAGTTTTTAAAGCTTTTTACACATCCAGTGAGGCACTTATGGCTTTTCTCTTTCCCTGTGGGACAGGGAGGAAAATGGGATGGTAATTTAGGAGTCATTTCTGAACCAATGATGGTCCTTTTAAATAAGAAAACTCTGCTGCTGCAAGGAATTAACGATTGTTTTCAGCTCATGAATAGTCAGTAGTATTTGAAAATGATTTCCACTGATCCCTCTCCAAATGAAAAAGGGCCATTTCTTGTCTCAGTCGGAGACCAATGCAGGGAATTTATCCTAATCTTCCTAAACCATCCAGCCTCCCAAACTAATAGTCACAATCGGGCAGCTGGCAGGTCACAAACACCAGCCCTGGGGGGGTTGGGACTGTGAGTAAGCAATTTTACAGCAATTTTACTGCAAGACAGGTCACCAAGAGACATTTTAATCTCAGCAATTATTTTTCTCAATGTCAATGACATCATGAAAGGAGCCAGAAACTTATTTCTTTGGACAATTATAAGCAGAGATTGCTCTTGACCTTGATATTTATGGGGTCCCAACCATCCTGCAGCAAGAGGTTTTATGAGTCTCCAGAGCAAACCTGCCAAAAGTTC